TTAGGCATGTAAATATAAGAGAAAAAAGTATTCTAATAAAAAAAAATACCAAGAAGATACAACATGAGAAAAATGAAGCAAATAAATTGGCTACAATCAACATTGCATTTATTGTAATTTTATTACCAAAAAAATAAAAAATTATATTTAATATGCCAAGAAGGTGCAAATAAACACATGATGAATAATAGTTCTTAGTTTCAATAAATTTGGTAAGTACTTCATAATACATGGTTTGTCTAAATTCCAAACAATTATCAATTGTAAATTAAAGGCTACAGCAATATCAACATCTTTATTTAAGAAGAAGATATAGTTTATAATTGCATTCTTTATAAGTGATTTTTTAATTATTAAACTAAGAAAAAAATTATTTTCTATTGATTAAGTATTTAAAAATAGAATAATAGTTCTATTCTATTTATATGATTACTAAGTACAAAATAAAAAAGGTGCTAAGTTTTTGAAAAGAATAAGAGAAGATGAGCTCTATAAAATCTATATTAAAATGAAATATTTAGAATACATACATGCAGTCCAGACCTTAACATCAATCTTTTAGATTAATAATATGGTTTTATAACACCATTGTTATAATCATATCAATCTTCAAGTTGTAAAGAATATGCACAAAAAAAAGATGGTTGAAGGTTTTTTTCAAAAATTACAAGAGATTCTGGATTAATTTTGTAAAAAATGTGTTATTGAAAGAGAACATCAACAACCATGCTAAGAAAAATGAAATTTTTTTTTAATTAGATGTTTGTAGATTAATGAGTATTAATTCTTTAGAAAAAGTCCTAAATTTGATTCTCTTTTAAGATGATTATTGTAAATAGTACCATGTTTATTTTATGAAGAAAATATTAGAATTTTTTCTTGTTTTTAAAAACTATAGAAGAGAGAGTATTCAAATATATAAGAACTAAAATTTAACAACTATGTAGTGATACAAAAAGAGAGTATATGAGCAAATCGTTTTCAGATTAGCTTGATTTTTTTTTTCGTATCATTCACAAGTTGATCACACCATATTTATTAAAAAAAAATAAAAGAATAGAGCATGATAATAGGACCATTGTTGAAAGTACAAGGATCACTTTACATACATTAGATGTGCTTCTAAAGTTATGAACAAAAACAACTAGCATTATACACATTCTTAATTGATTACCAATAATTCAAAGATTCTTTTTGAGGCCTAAAAAAATAAAAAAATAAAAAAACTATTTGTATCACATTCTTGAATTTAAATGTAAACCATATAATTTAGTATCAGAAAATTTTATATAGAAGCTAGATTATAAGAACAAGAAGCATATTTTTACAGATTATTGTGATAATTTTAAAACTTATAAAGTATGGAATCCTATTACAAATAGAATTTATATAAGTCACAAGGTCTCTTTTTTCAACGTGATACCTCAGCACAAAGGTCATCAATTTGTAATAGAAGGTAATTAATATCTCGTCAGTTCTCATTTAATTGCATTAAAATTAAATGAAGAGAGCTTTATTCATACAAGAAAAATTAGGAGCAATAGATGCCTTGAAGTTATATTTATTGTCAACTTTAGTACCAACATACAACAAGTAGCAATTCAAAGTGATAACAAGTAAAGTAGTTCTAAAAATATTGATGAAGAAAAATCTACAAATAAAAGAGCAAGTGGTTAAATCTTGAGGTCTACTAATTAGCATGTTCCAGTAAAGCAATTTGACAACATAGAGTTTAGAAGTGCTTATAAGTTTCACATATGGCTTATGAAAGCTTTAGCAAGCTTAAAATTTGATTCTATAAAATTTTCAAATGCCATAAAAGAACATCATTGGAAGGTTTCTATGGATGAGAGATATTCGGCCCTCATAAAAAATGAGACATGAGAGTTGTATAAGCTGCCTCCAAGTTATTAAAACATAAATTATAAGTATATATTCAAAAAATAAATAAAATAAAAAATAAAAATTACACCAAACAGAGAGATTGATTGATACAAGGCTGGTCTTGTTGCAAAAGAATATTTACAAGTAATTAGTAGTCATTATGATGAGGCTTTCTTACTTTTTATCAAGTTTGATTTAGTACAAACTGACTTTTTTGTACCAAACAAAGAAAAATTGGAAACGATTCAATGTAACAATAAGAGAATATTTCTAAATAATAGTATAATTGAATCTATTTATATAAATAAATAAGAAAGATATGTACAAAAAGGTAAGAAAAATTTGGTGTGCATCTTGAAATATTTTTTGTATAGATGAAAGTACTTATCTTGAATGTGGAATAGAAAATTTAATGAATTTTTTAAGAAGTATAGATTATTTCCAACTTAGGTAAAGTTCTATGTATATATGTGGCATCAACACTCTGTGGAGATTATCACCAGTTTTTTTAATAACAGTTTGGCTTGTATTGTTGAGTACTCAGACCTTCATTCTATCATTACCTATCTTCATGAACATTTAGATATGACTCACAAAGAAATTTATTACTATGTAGGATTTTAAATTTCTGAAGATAAAGTTGCAAAAAATTCTTTTTGCATTAGTTTAGATATATACATAAAATTGTCAAAAATTTGGGTAGGAATTTTCTTATCTAAAGTTACCCAAATGTCAAACTAAGTACATGAGATGCAGAATTTAGAAAGATAATGTACTAAGAGGTGGTAGGATCATTGATGTTTGTAATGATAAATATAGAAAAAGACATTATATAAGCCATAAATAGTGTTGCATGTTTTTGCTTTAATCTCCTTATTGAACATTGAGAAACTTTAAAGTGCCCTTTTAGATAAAGTGATTCCTATATGTATTATATAATTGTAAGTTTTCATTTCAAAGATACAACATAAAATAGCATGTGCTAATCAATTAATTATTTAGTTAAAATCATTTCTAAAAATTTCTATTGTTTTAATGTTATCAGTTTAACAAGATTTCTTTTTTTTATTCATTAAATCAGAATTTATAAAAAGTAATATTTTTAAAAATAATTGTGTTGGACAAATTATGATTATAATGAGGCGAAAATAATTTTTTGGAGAAGATATTTGGACAAATGAAAAATCGAAGCCTTTGAGATGCATTGATCCCACAAACAAATTAGAAACATTAGTTTCAAAAGTCACAAAATAGAAGTGGAGATTTCTCATAACCAAATCATAAACAAGTTGGGTGGATTAATTTCTTTATAACTTTTTAAACCAGTTGTGCTCTCTGGAGAATAGCCTTATTACATGCTAAACTCAATATTTGAATAATCAAAATTTAGATCTTTAATCCATTTCCCTACTTTGCTGCTCCCTACTGGATACTATTTGACTAAGCTCCATCAAGTTGAACACCTCACTTCACTAGCTTGGTAAATGTGAACAGGCCCTAATGGTTTTGATGGGCGCTACTGTGATTGGGACCACGTTCCCTCTGGTTTCCTGCACAATAGACATCTAGCTTGTCACTGCCAAGCTCAGACATCCAAGTGCAGATCTAATCCGTGGATGTGCGCTTAGCATGGAGTCCTGTCAGGTCACTATTCGCAGTGGAACTTTAAAGGAAGAATATCTAAACGAGACGAAAATGATAATCATATATAGGTACATATATACATATATAAATATTTATACATACAGTCATACACAAATACAAGCAACTTGTCCCATAGATTACTTCTTCGGGGACCGACACAACAAATTCTCAAGACTGTCAATGAAATGATCTTTTTTAGCCATAGAAATAGACCCTCTGACCGACGGTATGAAGTAACCGTGCCGTTTCGTCGCAAAGGGTATTTGACATGGGTGCCTGCCTCTATCCACCTTCATGAAATAAAATAAGAAAAAAGGAAGAAGAGGAGATAATTGGGACTGTGGATGTCAATGCACACCACTATTTTGCCGTTCAGACTGGCTATTATGGATCGAGAGAGAATGGGATTAGATAAACTTGCCAAGCGAAAAAGCTCAAAGAGACAAGAGAGAAGTACATCGGATTCCATGGGCCCCTGTGAACCTCAGCTATGTCTGTTTGACAGTGTCGTCTTTTCAACGAGTTCGAGATTCAATGATCAGAGCGGAGGTTGACGTTACGTAGGTCGCTTTCCAACTCGAACTGAATTCTTACTTGATTGACTGAAGCAGAAGTTTTACCGACAACATCTAGTAAATCAGTTTACCAGCAAAACATGGTTTCATAGTAAATTGCGAGGTCGTAGTGCTTTTTGTGCAGGTTTCAGGTTGTTTAAATAGATGAGCATTTTTTGTTTCAGGTTTCAGGTGGTTTAATCCCACGGCTTTTACATTTTTCCACAATATTTTCCCCTGACAGGCGACAACTGAGGAGATTCACAATGGGTGCAATCCAAACGGAGGCTTCACTCGCGAGCATTGACTCGAACAGTCCGCATTCAGCACGTCTATAAGCTCACAAGAAACTGTATCGATGCACCAAGGGATACGGATCGCCAGTGAATGACAGATTGTGTCATTAAAATCGTATATCGATTTGTCTAAAGGCTCAACGATGGCAACGGATTTTGGCGTAGGTCACTGGAATCGTCGATATTTGTCGACTAGACAGTACTTTGAAATGACTATGAGGGACGATGTGGAGGTATCCTCGGAAGCAGCCTCGAAGATGTCGGTGTCACGCTTGGGCTACTGTTGACAGCGAGGCGGCCATAATGGAGTCCTGCAGGGCTGGACGAGTACGTTCTGATAGAGTCTGCATGTGTGGTACAGCGGGGTGCGAGTTTCGAGACTGGTTCAGTGGTTACCGTGAGCTTTAGTCTTGCAGTTGATCGGTTGATTCGATTTGGCGCTGGAGGTTGATGGCATGACGTGCTCAATGCGTCTGCACGTTGGGAGGTATTTGAGTAAGTGGACTGGCTCCTGACGTACGCTCGCCGCAATTTGCGAAAAATAGTCAAGGAGAAAGTTGGGGAACGAATGTGGGCAACGATTATTTCGGAGGAGGACGACAGAATGGTGAGACGATGGGGGGGGGGGGGAGCCACATCAATGAGTTTCGAGCTAGTTTGGAATCTGATTGACAGTCGGGGATGGACCGGGTGCTTGTACTTGGTGCAAAGAGATTGATCCCCCACCATGTCTGGATCGATATGTGATTAATCTAGACTGGAAATCCAATAAGCATTTTTGAGCTAACTCGAGTGTTGCTACGATTATCACAACGAGTGCTGTTAATTGTCACAGTAATCGTTCGGAGTGAAAGAACTGGGGATAGTACTGAGCTTGCAGCAGAGGGTTAAAGTTTAGCTTGCTCTGCTTCAGGACCATGTCGGAAATGTTAGCATGGAAAGTGCATGAGAACGTCCTCACAATGTAGCCAAGGAGATTAATTCTGTTTCCGAGACTAGAGATTTCGACAAAGATCTGTGACACTCAATTGTAAGGCTTGGTATTGGACCGGTTGAATGCCCGGCGTGTGAGAGGACGGAATCGATGGATGCTTACACGCCACTGCTGAGGCGAAGGAAAACAACATTTTCATCATCGCTGCAGTTTCTTTTCTTGCTGCCATATTTCTTCTTTTGCAGCCCAAGTTATGGTACTCTAGAACAAGGTATGTCCCCCATCAAGTATAGCTCGTCGCATCGGCAATCACTCTAACTACAATTTTCTTTAGAATGGGGATATCGAAAGCCCACACCACTCCCATATTGAAGTAGGTTGCCTACTTCAATATGAACAACACATATTGAAAACGAACACACCTTTCTAAAAATCTTGGACTAAAATTGAAGACTCGATGCCTACTTCATAGCCAAGGAATAGAAAATTGGGCTACGAGTATGGCAAGGATGCACCTCGAAGCAACATTAGTTTATTTAACTCCGTTGTGGACAGGCGTTGCCTTGCAGGAATTAAAAAACTCCGGATGGATTACAGTGAAGTATCAATCGTGGTTGGTAAACACAGACCCTTGTGTCGAAGTCTGGGCAGGTGTTGATTGTGATACTCAAGGCAATGTCATCACCTTGTAAGCTTCAGTCTAACCTTCTGTACTCTCAATGTTCAAATATCCTCAACTTCGAGGACCCTTTTCGTGCAGCAGCTTACAATTTTGGAGTTACACAGGAACTTGACACATGCGGGCTTAAATGGACCTATTCCAGAAGCTATGGGGAGGCTCACGACCCTGGTGCAGCTAGACATGGGAAACAACAAGGTCTGTAAGAATTGCAGCGCATGGAACAAAGTGACGGGCGACCTCGCTCCCCTTACAAATCTGGTTAATCTCGAGAGTCTGTGAGTCAGCCATTCTCTGGAATTTTAATTGAGTTCAGTTCAAACTAAGCAATTTCTAGAGATTCAATCCATAATTTCCACACTAGAATTCATTACAATTATTTGTGTTTGCGTTTGTGACTTAGGGTGAATTCTTGTTTTCAGGATTTTGACTTCAAATGAGGTGGCTACTTCGAAATTTCCCGCGGCCATATTTCACCTCAAGAAACTTAAAAATTTGTAAGTGATGCAGAATTCTCTAAACAGGTGCTTTTTTCCCAATTCAGTTCTGCAAATAGTTCCTTTGATTTTGTGGTTCAGGAATTAATTTGGGATTTTCATGTTGACATGAGTCTTGTTCAATGTTCTCAGAAGGGTTGACAATACGATGATTGGAGGAGAATTTCCAGTGCGTCTTGCAGAATTGAGCAATCTTCAATATTTGTGAGTTAAAAACAAACGATTTCAGTCTTTCACCATTTTCTTCCTTCAGTTGGTAACATTACAAAAGAGAAGAGTCATATCAAGAGTCTCCTCATTTCAGTCCATTTGAATTTCCGACACTTCTTTCTAATTTATGTCACTAAAGGGAGCATATGTTAATGTTTTCATGCTCAACAGATATCTAGGCAATAACACGTTCACAGGAACCCTTCCAGGGCGCATACTAGGCACCATGATGAGTTTAAAAGAGTTGTACGTGAATATCTGCTCACCAGTATTTGACTCCATTCTGTGTATTCATTTCTTCTTTGTGTTTGAATCCAATTCCAAATATCTATCACTGATAAATGGCGGCATTTTTTCAGCTCAATCTGGGGAAATTATTTAACCGGTATAATCCCATCAGAACTAGCAAGCCTCGCCAACTTAACCTATCTGAATCTAAGCAAGAACAACTTGTTTGGTGGTCTTCCTCCAGAGCTTGGAAAACTCACTAAATTGCAGAAAATGTAAGAAAAGAAAATTCTCCTTTGTTAAATCGTGTCATTGAATATCAGTGCCAATATGAAAATATCTCGAGCTATCACCGAATCTTTCTGTATATAAATGGTTCACGTTTTGTTGGTGTGATATGTGCAGCTTTCTGTACAAGAACAAACTTACGGGGCCTGTTCCGGAGATGTGGCGCGGAATGGTCAGCATCAGCGACTTGTAAGATTCCTGAAATTCTAATCTAGAGAGACGATGAACCCTACTGTTATTGAATTAGCAAGATTTACTTCTAATTTCTTGCTCACTTATCCGGAAGAAAATCCATCCTGTTAGAGGGCTGAGGCAATTTCTAGGCACTGTACTGAATGTCATTGATTCCCTGAGGGTTGCAGACAGCTCAATGCCAACAACTTATTTGGATCTTTTCCTTCCTGGCTACTGCAAAAACCTTATCTCTCCATGTTGTGAGTTTGAACCGAACCATTCTTGTTAACCTGCGCATGATGCATAGATTTCTTTTATATGTTGGAGGAAATTAATAGCCTCCGCTTCTAAGTAAGTGAACACTTTCTTAGTTATGTGATAGTTTGTGCCTGAAGGATTTCAGAACTGAGTTGGGATTATGTAGGTGACTGCAGGGCTGACGTTTTTTAAACATTATGGTACAGGCAACTCAGCAACAACCAGATCCGCGGTACGATCAACGCATCGGTCCTGAACATCATCGCTCCTAGTTTTAAGAATCTGTAAGGACACTAAATTGCTAGTAATTAAATGAAGTTTGAATCTTTCCTCTGTTGGATTGGCTCAAATAAATAAGTGCATTCTATGTAGGTTCTCTGATTGCAACCCCTGAAATCTTTAGCTCATTATAAGCTGTGAAATGAAATTCAGATATTCATTGCTGAACAATGGATTGGCCTCTTGGTTTTTATTTGTGCAGACAATTGCAGTGTAATTACCTGGAGGGCACCAAACCAAGAGTTCAAAATGACAGTGATATTATGTTAGCTTCTTCCACCTTATGCTCCTTTCCTGTCTCAGTTTTGATGGCCTCAGTTTCAAGCCTTCGGTGCACGTTTCTTCACCAATTAATTTTTTATTTCTCATGCAGCTTTTATGAATTTTACTGATACAGAGCCAACCTTGACAACAACTGCTGGGATAATGAATCTGCTTCGGACTCGGCATGTGTTAGGGCTCTGAACTGCTTGAATTTTCAACTGTATACAAGAAATGGTAACCTCCTCCACGTCCTACGATCAACTGACTTTGTTTATGATCTATCTCAACCTTTGACTCATGGATCAGCTCGCATGTTTGATGGCAGGAAGATGCCCAGATTGCCCTAGCGGACAGATCATGGTGGATACCACGACTTGCATCTGCTATGGAGGTTACATCTATAACATTTAACACGGTTACTAAATTTGATATGATCCGCTGTGATCTAGTCTTCGAATTTGCTCTGACTTCCATTGAAATTCAAACTCTGCAGTAATGACAAGCTCCGTCAAGAAGTTACCGATTGGTGCCGTGATTGGCCCGGTAGTAGGGGTTGCACTCCTGATTCTATTGGCGTCATACCTCTGGTGGAGAGCTGCTAAACGCAAAACTGCCAAAAGGGAACTCGCGCTCCTATCTCATTCTCATCCTGACTACTTCCAAACGGAGGAGTGTAGTATGAGGTTCGGTAGCATGCAGTCGTGGGAAATCCCAAGGGGTGTGCATCACTTCTCCATCGAGGATCTCATCAAGGCAACTGATGGGTTTGATAAGTCCCATGAAATTGGAGAGGGTGGTTTTGGAAAAGTGTTCGTCGGGAATTTCGCTGATGGCCGCATGCTCGCCATCAAACGGGCTGGCCCGACTCGATGCTCGTCCAAAGAGTCTGGCCATGGACAGTTCAGAAACGAGGTACCTTTTTCTTAATCTCACATTTTCATATACTTTTTTCCAAATTAAGTTTAGAAGTGGACGGTAATGCAGGTTTCTATTTTTGGTTTTTCAGGTGTTGCTACTAAGCAGACTTCATCATAAGAACTTGGTGAGACTGAATGGGTTTTGTGACGACGGTGATCAGCAGGTACTGATTACGCATATCTCTCCGAAATGTTCCCAGCCGAAATGGTATGAGATGACAATACTTTCCTAAGCTGCTCTGCACTGCCATTCAATTGACTTTCTCTTTCGTACCGTGTGCCAACAGATTCTGGTTTACGAGTACATGAAGTTGGGAAATCTTCACAGACATCTCCATGGAAACAAAGGCAAGTGCGCAACATTGGATTGGTACAAGCGGTTGGAGATTGCGGTGAATGTCGCTCAAGGCTTAGAGTACTTGCATTCCTTTGCGGTACATTACTCTCTGGTTTTCCCATCTTTACATACATTCCTTTCCAGCAGAGAATTGTTGAATTTTACAGCTTGTAGATATTGGTATGTATTAAACCCTTGCAGCTAGTTATGTCCTTTCCATTTTTTTATGGTTTTTCAGGACCCTCCTGTCATTCACAGAGACGTAAAGCCCAGCAATATCCTGCTTGATGAGAACCTTGTAGCTAAAGTTGCAGATTTCGGCATCTCTAAAGAGTCGCCTGAGATTGACACCCATGTGTCTACTGGACCAGCTGGCACATTAGGGTACAACACATCATGTCTTCTTCCCAATCTTTGCAACCACACTTATGCCTTCAATTCTAGTAAACACAGTGATTTAATCAAAGCGAATACATGTATATTTACCAGCGTACTATCTGTTTCAGGTACTTCGATCCTCAATACTTCCTTCGTCGACAATTGACGACAGCCAGTGACGTCTACAGCTTTGGTGTGGTCCTTCTGGAGCTCATGACTGGGCGACGAGCAATCGAAATGAATTGCCCTGACGACGAGGAATCCAATCTTATAGAATGGGTTAGCTACTCGGATCCTCACAATCATGAAGGCCGTAATTTCTATCAGTATTGGAAATAGGCCGTAAATGAATTGTGATATAAATGAAAATGATGTTCACCGTTTTGTCTTCATCGTGTTCAGACTAAAAAGAAGAGAGAGGCAGACCAAGGGATTGAAAGCGTAGTGGATCCTAAACTGGAGGGAAATTATCCACGAGAGTTGTTTGAGACTCTAGTAGATCTGGGATTGAAGTGTTCATCCTTTAATAGAGTCGTTCGGCCCACAATGAAGGTATGCTCGTATTTTCCCATCCTCGTCACAACTAAAGTGGCTATCGTTTCATTCTTTCCCCATGAAACTTGATTATGGTCATCGCTGTGGACAAGGACGTTTACAATTCTGATAGTGAGTTGTGGTTTGACAGGTTGTAGTGAGCATTCTGGAGCCTTTATTGCAAGCAGCAGAAAAACCACCCCAAACTATTTCAGTACAATCTTTGCAATCATGGCCCTCTCAGCCACTCCTTCCATCTCCGACTTCACACAGCAGCACAGCAGGTGACACCATTAGCACGGCAGGCTCCGATGCGAGCAGTATTAGGATGGATGGTCTTGAAGCTAGTCCTCGAATAGAAATGACCCAAACAGTGCTTTATCCACGCTGAAGTTTTATTCCTCTTACGGCTGATTATGTAGACAATATTGTACAGTAAACGAAAATTCGAACAAACGATGTCCATCGAGTGTTCTCTAACTTAGCTTCTAAGACTTGTCGAATTGATATGGACACAGTAATTGATTGGATACATTGTTTTTGTCAGGGAGAGATTTCAAGATAGACGTAGGTTTGGAAGAATTGCATTGAAGAAAACATTAATTTCCTGAGATGCAACTCACAAGCATCTACACAACTAAGAGCATGGGGCTGGAAGCGGTGTTCAGATTTTTCTTTATCATGCACCATTCCCGATGCCAAAGAGTATGACATGTTCCAATCGGCATGTGCATCGCCCCCATGCTAGATGCGAGGCATTACTCGTTCCAGATTTCTTCGTATGATTCTTTCAATATTCCACGTCGAGGCTACACAGGGCGTTAAACGGATCAACGATTTGCATACTCTCATTCTAATCATTATGAGCACAAGTTTCTAAACGTATACCACCCGGTGACACAGAGTGATCGCACAGAGTAACTGTTGAGAAAATGATTCCATAATGACTCAATCAGTCATACGTCATCTGGCCTAGTCAAGTCCACATAGCTAGGATTATCTTATCAGGGTTAGTAGCGCTGAAAAAATCCATATATCACTTAGTACCCATGTAGATTTACCAAACCCCCGATAAATCTGCTTCCAAGTTACTTACCATTCACAAGAATAATATCAGCAAAAGTCACCTTACCTTCTATCATAAGTCTAGCTTGTCAACTTTAACAAGAAAAGAAACACAATATCAATTACACAAATTACAACAACGAACAAGTATTAATGGCTTGACTCTAGGGATTCATTTGTAAAAATGGATGAGGTCAATTTGCACATTTTTCCAAAAAGCCACTACTAATATTCTTAGATTAAAACATTTGCAACACTTAGAACTTTTACTTCAATAAACAAAATACTTTTAAAGAAAGATATTATAGACATTGCAAAAAATAGGGACATTTGGCCAAAAATTGTCATATTTTCAAATACTTGATAATAAAGAATTAGGACCAATAAGTTAATGTTGTCTTAGAATTTGATTCTAATGATGATGAAGACCTTTAGCAAATCTTCTTTGCCATCACAAAAAACAACCAAAATGAGCCTTCGATGCTTAATATTGATAGAAATATACATGTCAATAAAATCAAAAAAAAATTAAAAGACTTCATTAACAGCTGAAGGGAATAAATGATTAGGATTGTGAATGACTAAGGTCATCTTGTTAAATAAGACAACAAATTCAATGTATGCTCTCCATTTAGAAGAATTAAATAAATCACAAATATTCTTTATGTATCAATCTTTAAAAATAGTATCATATCAATAAGAACACTCATAAACTACAAATAGAAGGCTATATTTGATTCCAAGAAATGTGTAATATTAAAAAATATTATACCATCTAAAATAATAAAAAAAAAGGCTATAGAGATCACAAATCTAAATTATACATGCGTAACAAAAGGTCTAGATTTATTAGTCTTATTTATTAGAAAAATAACTAATATTACTAAGTAGTTATGGCATTTATACATGGACTATCTAAACTTTGCTAACTTATACATATTGTCTTTATAAAATCTAGTAATTGATATTCTATAAATATCTAATAGAAAGTACATATGCTTATCTTGTCAATTAAAAAAGTTATATAAACAAGCAATTTCCAATGAGTTGTCTATATGTAGTCAAATTTTAGAAGAAATTATTTACACAAATCTTTGTAAACCTTTTAAACTAGTATCATTGAGCAGAATAAACTATGTTCTTATATTTACAAATGATTATTCATGATATACATGGCTATATTTTTTGCTATCAAAATGAATCATTTTTAATGTATTCAAAGAAATTAGAGCATAAGTAGAAACTCCTACAATCTTTTCAAAGAAGAATTAACTCTCTACAATCTAATCAAAGAAGAAAATATATTTCATCAATAACTTACTACATCTAAAAAACCTTCACAAAATTAGACTTATTGAAAGGAAGAATAAAAAAATTCTTGATAAGGCTTGAGGAATATTTGTTGACACTAAACTTTCACCATGGCTAGAAATAGACACACTAAATACAATTAATCTACTTGTTAATTTGTCTCCTACACGAATTAACTATAGAATAATTTCTTATAAAAAACTTTATAATTAGAAATTCAATATATTATTTCTTAGAATTTTTTATTGCAAAAGATTTATTCATAAGATTTAAAAATACCATGATTCTAAACTATCTTTAGGAGCTGTTAATGTAGTAGAATTTAATAACTAGTCTAAAACTTATAGATGTTATCACCCTAATATGAAGAAGATTTGGATTACAAAAGATGTGACATTTCACAAAAATATATTTTTTTGTTTTAAAAGAAATCTTATCTTATGAAGACATAGTAGTTTTTCAAAAGATATTCTTTTTAGGTCTATTATCAATAGACAAACCACTACATAAAATCAAAATACTTGGTCAAATAATATTGATTATTTTTATTCCAAATAATATTAGCTAAGATTCCACTAACTTGGTAAGATTGGCTAAAAATCCAAGGATGAATCTTGAATTAGAAACAAAACTTAAAGCTTTAGCTTTAACTAAAATAAAACCTTAAATTTGCTCTACAGTCACTAAATTTTGTAGAATAGTATACAAACCTACAAGATTTTGGAAATTAGTAAATATAGTAAAAACAAATATAGAACCAAAAAATTATAATGAGGTAGTACAAAATCCAAAGTGGCATGAAAAACCCTAAATCCTAAACCTGATTTACTCACCTTGCCATAAAATAAAAATAATATATTAGTTAAATGGATATACAAGCTTAAGCAAGGAAATAATTTAAAATAACCTATTTACAAAGCTAGATTAGTAGCAATATATTTTTAACAAAAAAAAATATAAACTACAATGAAACCTTTGCACTAATAGTAAAATGAATCACCTTACAAGCTCTACCAAGTCTTATTATCTTAAGCACTACATTAAACAGCTTAATGTAGGATTATTACTGTCTATTGTCACATAATTAAAAAATTATTGTATCTAATATATTATAGACCAAACATTAGTTATGCAGTAGGTGTTTTAAGCAAATTCACAAAAAATCTATAAGTATTGCATCTTAAAGCTACAAATAGAGTTTTACAATGTTACAAACATTATCTATTTGCCAAGATCTACTCTGACAAAATGAAGAGCATCATCTCACTTCACACAAAATTGCAAAATCAAGACCTCAAATTCAAAGCAATTCTGTAACAGGAGGTATTCAATCTTTCTTTTTGCAAGGCAGGACATATTCCCAGAATCATATCTGATCACCATGTGCAGAGTATTTCTCAAGCCCAGACATCTGGCAGATGAAACCACATCACTCAAAATGAACATGGTCAGGATCTGCATCTAAACTGGAATCTCAATCAAGGTTAAACCACATACAATGGCAACAAATTGCCCTTTACTGATATAGAGATGAGAGTATCTGATGCTCCACATACATTACACAGTGAGAATGTGGCATTCCAGCTGAAGCTTCAATTTTCCTTTCCCTGTTTTAACAAGCCTCCAAGAAGCACAATGTGGGTTCCATCTAAGCTCATTCTATGGCAATTTGGTTTCAGAATTTGAAGTTTTCCAGCCTGGAAAATTGTTCCAAATTCAATATAGTTTGAATTTAAAAAATGGTATGCAAGTATTATTAGAGGATTTTTAACATAAACGAATTAGTTTTAATAAAATTATGAAATTATTTTAAATGAAAATAAATAAAAGTTATAATAGTTATAAAAAATAACTACTGTATATTTTTTCACTTTCAATGTTTGTCAAAAATATATTTTTGAAATTGTAAAGCTTTCTACATTCTTTTAGACCCTGTAAGAAAAAGAATTGTATTTTTGGGACCTTCTGGAGGCTCTTAATAAAAAAATTAATCAATATTTTTTTTAGCAAGATTTTGCAGGATGTCTTTTACTAATAGATTGATTGGAAAAAAAATCAAAACATAGCTTATCAATAGCTTTAAGAGTCGGTTTAACAATAAGTCCTTAGACACTTAAATCCTATATAATTGATTTTTTTGCTAGCATATACGTCAAAAAATAATAATTGATATTTTTCATTGATGTAGCGAATATATATGTATATATATATATATATATATATATAATTTTTTTTCAAAATTAACTTTTTCATTCCATATTTCAAGATAATATGAAGGAATCATATACATAAACAGCTGCAATTCACTTTCAAATTTAGTCCAAACAATGATGCAACTTCGCTGCTCTCACTATGTTCCCCTAGAACACTGCGCATTTTTCTCCTCAGCAAACAGCATTCCACTCCAACTATATTACCATCCAACGCTACAACTACAATTATCATTTCTCTCTAAGCAAAACAACATCTCTGCAGAGAATTAACTTCATTGTTTTTAAAACTACTTTGCAATCGGATGGTGCAGCGATTATAACTGGGTGCCACCACATCAGAGCCAAATTTCGGCACCACCAGTACCGCATCTAAGAAACGCTGTCACGTTTGACCTTGATTTCTTGCACAAGCATTGCATTCCTCGAAGTAGAGGTAACGTTTTAAGCATCAGAATTCTACACGAGTCAAGAGGCCTACCTTCTCGGCCCTGCAGCCTACAACAGCCAAAGAATCGCACTTTTGTGACATTCTCGCGATTAGATTCAAAGCAGTGTCAGTATCGATGGCAACCAAGAGCGTCGAAAACCGATCCCATCGACCTTCGGATGGTCCCGCCTTCTTCCCTGAGCGAGGCCCTCGCTTGGTCGCATTTCATCACATGACGTGTGACATTGGCAAGGCTCTTATTGACGGCAGCTAGTTACAATCGGCCGGCCGGATTTTTCGTCAGTGAATTTAAAATTCAATCGAAGTTAATAATGGTCAGGTTTGTCTGGTTACAAATCCCCGCTTTAGACTGCGTGTGAAGATGTAAAGATTTTAAAAATCTGGATCAGTGCAGCTGTCTGCGTCAGAGTTCACAAATCCAAGTGATGCCAAGAATGCATTTATCACCCTATACCACTCATTGGGTGATTTCTTCAACCCACAGAGTGTCTTCTTTAAATGACACACCATTATTTCCCTTGATGGAGAAACTCCTCTAGCATTGTCATCTACTTATCCTCATTAAAAGGAGATCATTAAAGAATGGTGTTTTAACGTCCATTTGAATGACACAAAGGTTTTGCTAAGCAGAAAATGCTAGTATTATTTGAACAATTGTATTTTTACTAGGGGTGAAAATGTATTAGTGAAGTCAAGTCCTTATACTTGACTAATTTCTTTTGCAACTAATTTGGTTTTAAATTGTACAATGCCTCTATTTGTTTTGAACTTAAGTTTAAAAATCTACTTGCAAGTAATTTATTGTCATTGTGGTAGAGAGTCAATGCAAAACCTATGTTCAAATAGCA